TAAAGCTTCTAGCTGTTTGAAGGTGGTAGGGGAGAATCCGAGTGGGAAAGAGAGATGGATAGGGGAGGAATTGCCTCTCTGGCCTCTAAGCTGGCTTTGGGACCTCCCCGATGACTTTTGCTATGCGCCAGTAGTAGCGTTATTCGTTAATTTCCTTGCATAATTTACCAGTTGTTAAATAAACATCAGTCGGGAAAAGAAGGCAAACAAATTTCAGCTTTTTCAGACAATTAATCCGGAATTCAAAGTCTGGATTTTCGACTAACTAAAAACTACAGCAAAGCAGTTTTTTGCCGATATGAGGTTTTTGTTGAGAATGCTTCCGTATAGCTGCCCCTGGCGCACACAAGCATTCCAGTAACACCATTAACATGGGATATCTACACGGATTGCTCGGGCAATCTTAATATAAGTTTCTTGTAACATCAGACTCATCATTTTATGAAATAGAGGTTAGAGGATTTTAAGACATGCAGCGACTCGGATGACCTCTGAAGAAGTGGTGCGCATGCGTCAAACGAGCGATAGAAACTAACTGAAAATGTAGAACTCTGGATCGAAGGCCTGGCATAGCTATGCCCAACGTATAGGTGCTTTTCTTTTCAGTAGTATCACGAACTTGGGATACTCACGCCAACTCTTTACGCGGTCTATTGATATCCGTAGTCACATCTCGATTTGCCAAATCTTCAGAATATCGATGTTCAGTCCCGAAACATTTTTGGAATTAATAAAGTAGTATAGTAATGTGCCAGATGTTTGCAGCATGGGCTCATATGTACAGGTGGAGAGAGAAGGAACGTATGGATGAGCGTGGTGTGACACTTCGAGGACAGTTTATTGCCGTTGGATTGCTTGCTGACTCGGTGCACGATGGCCAGAACGTATGCATCCAGTGGGATCTCGACAATGAAGTATCATTCGCACTCATCAGGCAACCTGATCCGGAGCAGACATCGCACGAAGTTTGGCTTTATAACAGGTGGGCCAGGAATCAGAACTGACTTCGATTTACAGTTCATTTGTCGTTCAATTTTTTTTTTTCAACTATTTTCTACTGGTTCTCGTTTAGGAAGTCAGATGCATGCAGAGGTGAGAACGAGAGGCAATAGGACAACTGTGCTATAGAAGGCGAACTAAACTATCAACTTTTTAGCTTGGCGTTACAACTGGGCCTTGTTAGCATAACAGTGACAACGTTTGCCTTTAGTGGCCTCGAAAAGACTCCCACCCTCTTTCTGCTTCGCGATTTCTTCGAGCTATAACCTCGTATCATGTGTTTTTGCACATATGCAAATGCAAACGCGCATAATTGACGAAAGGCTCTGTGTGTGTGTGTGTGTCTGCGTGTTCGCACCTTTTGTCACCCACTTTCATCTCAAAGCTAGAAGGCTGGGTGCGGCGACCAGAAACCAGAAAAGCTAGAAGGCTGAAACTTCGGGAGTATGTGCCTACGCCATGTGTGACCTTCCCGTTTTAATACCATCACCCGCGTATCCCTGGGTACCGCGTACGGAGGCCTTAAAAACACATGCAAATTTTTAGTCGGAAAGCGATTTAGAGAGCCAGATAAGATGGAGAGCTGAAACATTGCAGAAATATTCTCTGTACATGTATGAGCTAAAATTTCAAATTCAGCCCTTAGGTATGCGTGGTTCTCATGCACGGGCACTTGAAATTTTTGCCAGGAAAACCGTGTTTTTGTTCTTGCTCGAATTCAGTGGAAAATTTGTTGCAGTGGTAGCAAACCGTT